ATAACCCAAATGCCATGTTCTAATGAAGGCTATCACTAGTTATAACCCAAATGCCATGTTCTGCAATTTTCAAGGAGTTATCAAGGATGTTTCCAAGACAATTCAACTTAGTTTAAAAGGATTTTAAAGTGCTTTAAACCTGGAGTACAAATTCCAACAATTATCAAGGAGTTTAATCTCGGCAGTGACGTGAAAGCAGTATAAAGTACAGTACATATTGCAGGGATGTTATCATGTCCACACGCGATTTCCATGTGCAGTCAACGTAGTGACTACTGTACACTCAAGTGCGTATAGTGCTCACTGCAACTCAATGCATGCAGTCAACACGTACGCGTGAATTTTCTTATTGTTATACAGTCTTTTGTCCTTTATCTTTTTACTTACAGTAGGAAGCCGATCTTTTGCTACTACAGTAGGCTTGCTAATATTCCTGCTTTGCTTGAATAAAAAACTTCTCCGGAGTCTATCTGATAAGAAATTTCTCCAAACTGCACGTTGGAATTTATCATGTAACCAACGATGGGTAATAAAATAGTTGACAGTCTTTGTTACAACAAAAATTGTTTTCTAATATCTTATTTCTCAACAACAATTTATAATAGTCCTTTTCAATTTAACCTAAGCTTTCTTTTGATATATTTTTAAAATTCAGAACTTATCTAGAACAGAAACTAAGGGAAATTATTTGGTTGTCTTTTTGAAGGGTTAGTATGAATGCCAATGTAAAGTGTATTAAACTTTGGCAACATTTGACTTTTTGTGTGTTATCACTAAAATCTTTTTTCTAACTTATTTAACAGCAACAAAAAGATAATATTCGTTTTCACTTTAACCTAGGCTTTCTTTTGATGTATTTTTTAAATTCAGAAATTATCTAGGACAGAAATTAAGGGAAATTATTTTGAAGTGTCTAAATGACCAGCAGTCGGTCATGAAGGAACATGAACTCCAACTCCAAATCAGTTTGATCGTCAATTATTAACAAGTTATTTTACTATAAACTTAGTCAAAATATCAGAAAACTAGAGAAGCTTTAGACGAAAGAATACATAAAAACGTGTTATTGTGAATTCCAACAAAAGGCACTAGTTAATGAGGAAATCAGCTGCGTGTAGTTTGTTACATGTATCGTGTACTCAACGTACTTGCGGCCATTACACGCGTAGGAGTGTACTACACTAAGTGTACTACACATGGTTTACACGCTCGGAATGTTAACATCCTGTGAGCGGTACTGTACATCACAAAAATTAGGTGTCAAATGAGCTCCAGCATATCTGCACATTGGGCAACCCAGTGCATGGTACAAGAGAGTCTTGTTATAATTATGATAACAAAAACAAAAGGAAACGATTATTGTATCAAGACACACATTTCTTCTTGAACATTTCCTATAAATTATGTAAATGTTATTGACTAACTTGGAATTATGTAATGACTGTAACGGTCCTATTGAAGGATAGTGGGAATAAATTACCCTAAAATCATCCAAGCAAGTGTAAGACAATAAACACGCATATGACGGTCTCGTTATTAATTACGTCAAAATATTTACATCTTTAACAACCGGGACCATAATTTTGTGTAAGACAAATTTTCAGTTAATAGAAAAAGAAAAGTCGACAAAACGATATTTATGAAAAAGCTCAGAACTGAAAAATGATCATAATGAGAAGGAAAATTACAAGATATAAGCTTAAACTTGACTTACTGAAAAGTTCTAACAACGAGACGTGACGAACTATGTGAACATGAAATAAGTTATCTTCTTTTATCAGAGTTCTTTTTACGGCAACACAAAACAAAACTTGTAATTATTATTAAATACGTAAGAAACTAGGCACATATGGAAAAGCAAACTATATGCTCTACACTTAAGGAACGGCTTTTTAAAATTTAGATTGCAGTAGGAAAGTATGTTAGGCTTCACTACGTGATGAGACTGCGTCACGAATTATCCGTCAACTTCAGAAAATACGGTTGTTCACCTATTTGCTGTCTTTTTTAATTTGGTTAAATGTGTTTTAATCTTGAAGACCTAAAACTCCAAAAAAATATATGTGTAATCTAAATTTGGATTACCAGTAAGTTTTTTTTTGTTTCGTTCGTCGTTCGTGTACCACACGAAATTTCCTAAGAGCTCATATAAGCTTGCCGAAATTTGAAGTTCTTGCCAAGTCAAGAAACAAGAAAAATAAGCACTGGTCAAGCTTAAATCAACTCGTGTTCTTCCGAAAGTCAATGCGACTAAAACATTACTTATTGACTTGGGAAATATGACTGTGTTTATTGTTGCTAAAGTATTAAAAATACGTCGATTGAAAAGGCAGAAATTACATACCTTGTCTTCTGGAATCACTTTGCATTGGCGCTGAGAGGCTGTTGTCATAATGCGAGACGACTTAGCTCTCGCTTTCCTCGATATATCGATTGCTTTGTCGATTTTCAAAATTTAAAAACTGGAAATATCTTTCTCGATTATTCACGAAAAAACTGGTTCGCTTATGTGCCCCATTTATAAAAATCTGATCGGTAAAATCATTCTTTCACAGCCGAGAAAGAAGGTAATTTTCGTTCAGCCCTTTCCGTCTGCACTGTGACTGCACAGCATTGTGGGGCAATGGATGGTATTACGTCAAACCAATGTAAATTGGCCACTTTAGAAACGAGTCGAGGACTGAGAACGAGTTTTTAGATTTAATCTAGTTAAAAAATAATCAAAATAGCAAGAAAGAGTACATCGAAATTAGTCAGTTCTGGAGTTTCAAGATTTTGGGTTTCATACCTTTTATGCTTAGCAACCTCCCAAACATCTCAAAAATAACAAAGAAATGTATGGTTGGACTGGGAACGCTTGTCCCGCGTATGCGTCGGACCCACGTGACACTACGTAGCAAACATACATTTCTTTGTAATTTTTGAAGTTTTTGATCGCTCATAATTTAGTTGTTACTAATCGAAGCTATACTACAGAAACCTGTTAATTTTGATGTGCTCTTTCTCGTCATGTTAATAAATCTTTAATAAGAATTATTATCAATACCTCCTATGTACTCGTTCCCTGTCACTTGTTCCTAAAGTTCCAATTATTGAAGGGGGAGGGGGGGGGACAAAGGCAAGACACAAGGTGCAAAATTGCAGGTAATGTTGCTGAAGTAGGATAGTTTTCTACTTTAGCAACATGCGTACAACAAATTGCGTCGTGTGTCATGGCTCGCAACATCAATAGCGCAGCGCACTGATTCTAAAAATAGCTTAAAGATTCGGACAAACATTGCATTCTGTTTAACCGCTACGAGGATTATACGAACCGATTTTATTATTTTTACTTAAAGTTACAAAAATAACCCATGTAAACTAAGATCAACTGCGATCGGCTGTGAAAATAATCTGCTGAAAGTAAACTTGTAAATTTGTTTGTCCGAATTTGGCCTTTGTCTTTGTTTTTATGACGTCACGGTTGCGCTGCGCTATTGCGCGATGCCATGGTGTGTCAGTTGGAGTTGTACAAATCGGTCTCGGAGGAGGTCTAATCGCAGGCAATAGGCAAAAAACAATACCACAGATAAACTAGTGACCACTAGTATCTAGGTGAAATTATGAGAACTACATAAAACCACAGATAAACTAGTATCCAGGTGATATCATTAGTAACTGCATAAAATCACAGATAAACTTGTATCCAGGTGATATTGTGAAATTATAGTTGTATTTTATTTCTGTATATAGATAATATTTAGATTTGTTTAGTTTCAACTTCCCGCCAGAATTACGCGCGCCATTTTGATCGGACACGGTACATCGAAATAAGCTCTACTTAAATCATTATTACCACCAATAAGTTGTTCGGACTATAGAGAAATGGGTGTATGACCTGTGTACTCCTCTTTGGTCAAAAATACTCCCTGCACGTCCGTTGTTGTCGATTATCCAATCTGTCGATTCTTCATCCAAATCATGAAATCTTCCTCATGACATTCATCAAAATATACCGCGCTGCGACCATAAATATATGTCCATGTCTTCGGTGTTCTAATGCTTCTGGCAAAAAACATGATGGCTCATTGAAGTTTAGAAGCGCGCGTAGAACACAAGAAGAAGAGAAGATCGAAATCCTCTATTCAATGAATCATGAGCTGTTTTGCCAGATCGAAGCTTACAGTTTCGCGCTCAAGTTGGGTATTAACTTTGTGGCATCATTAATCTGCACGTAAACCACCAAGTACAATATTCATGATGACTTTGAAAACACTATAAAGCTACAATGTGTAATATCAAAATACCTGTACACTAAAAGACTAAGAGTCAAAAAAAAAAAAAAAAAAAAAAACCAAAGGCAATATACAGTAGCTCATTCATGGCTAGCTAGCGCTAAATGCCAAGGGTTGTGTATTCATGGATTTCATCTGTCATTGGTATGGTAGGAAAGTAAATATGTACTAAAGAGATTATCACCAACGCCTGCACAGGGTAGTGATTGCTATATGATAACACTTATGAATGGCCCCCACTGAGAATTTTTTACCCTTATAAAGCTCCTCATGACCCCTCCTTAAAGTCATGCAAAAATATACGATCCCCCCTAAGCAAAGTTGTAGCTTATTCCAAAAATTGTGCATCCCCCCATTTTTCTGATAAAAATTTTCCCGCCCCCCTTTTTCCTACCAAAATTTTCCCGACCCCCCCTCAATTTCACCTGCACCCCTCCCCCTCTGGCATACATTATGAATGCAGCCCGACTATGTCTTGCAGGCAATTTCAATTATGCATAATTACGTGACGTTTATCCGGAAGGTTCATGAATATTCAATGAGTTTGAATACTACTTGGAGACTCGACGAGACTTCCTTGGACTCGAAAGGAAGGAAAACATGGGATATCATATTAGGTAATGTTTCCAGCTGGTTGAGAGACGATAGCTTCGCACTATTTGAGTTTTTAATTCTCCACAAATATTCTAAACACGTGTATTTCCGTTCCTCGTTTTGCATCGAATCGGCCTTGCGGATTCTTAGGTTGACAATGACGTCATCATTTTGTAATTTCTTTATTGAATATCTCTGCAAAGAAAAGGGATATCAAAGAATAGTAAACGCCATTATCATTTACTTAGTATAAGGACTTTTTAATCAGGGAGGCATCCTGTAGACATTAGGTCGATTTAGGAAAAAATAATCTACTGCTGTAAAACTGGGAGCAATGACTTTTGGGCGTGGCGCTAAATAAAATTAGTCAGAATGTGACCTTCCATCCTTGTACAAATTTTCATTTTTGTATCCATAAACTGAAAAATTTGTGCACCGTCTCCAGTCCTGCACTATTACACTTTGGAAAGTACCTTGGCTGTCCTTTATAGTATGGTCTCTTTGCAACAGTGATAATAGCAGCAAAGGCAACATTACGACATAAATAGCAGTACGATACCAGCAGCAACAACAAGAGCAGCAAGGGCAACAACAAAAGAACAATTATTTGCTCACAGCCCTATGAATATCAAGTATTTAATCAACTTTTCAAATCAAAATTATTTGGTTCGATCTTATTTCCAAAAAATATATAATCATTTTATCTACATGGTTGGTAATAA